CGAGAAAGAATCTCCATAGTCGTATTCGTAGCGTAGTCGCAGAGCGCTCCACAATAATCTCCATGGGAGTAGATCTAACGTAGATTCCCAAAAATCTCAAATGCCCTCGTTCTAACATTGTTTGGAGAGGTGTGAACCGAGTAACAATCGTCTTGGTTTTCAGAAGCTGTGCAAGGAAATAACATGGTAGCAGGTGAAAGAATGGATATCGGGACGTCAAATAATAAGGTGAGTGTAAAGGGGTTAATTCTACGTTGAGGTTTTTAAGGTTAACCTTTATGGATTCAAGCTTTCAGTTACGATACGAGTTATATATACTCGAGATGCATGTTTGAGAATTCCTTTTTTCTAGACATTTGAACTAGGAGAATTGAGAATGTATGAGGCCTATGGATGTATATTGAGGTAACCCACTTCCTACTGAAGGCGAGGACAGGATTTTGATGTACCTCACCGACTAATGAAGGTGAGGGGACGTGATGTGTATGTGATGTGATGTGTATTTTTTAGGTACTTCGCCGCCTAATAAAGGTGAAGTTGATGTGTATGTGAGGTGTATGTGATGAGTGAGTGTTAGTAAGATAGGAAACCCTCTGGTGATTGGATCACTATTGGACGACGATACGCAGTAGTTGATCATGCATGGTACCAGACGTCTATTCGAAACGCGGGCCATTGCCTATAGTAAAGGCAAATGTATGAGTTTATTTGATGTTTGAGTTCTTTTTAGCGGCGTAGACTGAACCCTTCTCATTCACTGGGTAGAGGAAGGTTTAGAGAGCGAGTAGCTCGAGAGGAGTTAGCTCGAGACGATCAGCAGCACCATCACTGAAAATGTCTCAGGAGGGATCACAGTAAGCAATCGCAGCTGGACTCGCTTAGTTATGTCACTCCATGATTATGAGTATAAACCGGAGATTCAGAGTTTATGTTTTAAGAATTATGGATTGGATTTTCCTTTTGTTTAGGGCTTTACATTTGAATTATAAGGAACTGTTTGGTTTCTTTTGTTTCCTTGTTTTGATTATTAAGAAATTTTACTCTGCTCCGTAGCAACAGTTTTATATTTTTTCATTAAAAGGAACGTGATGTTACACCCACAATCGTGACCCTAGTCGTGAACACCCCACGGGACGTGAAGGAAGCTTGAAGGCTGCCCCAAAACAACGACGGATCAATTTAACTATCGTGCTAGGGTTTAGTTCACATGTGGCCTCACAACTGTGAGTGCACCTGGGAACAAATTTCTTCCATGCCTATTCAAGCATCTCTAAGCGGATTGAAGAGAAGAGTTTGGCACAAAACCCTCACATCGATAATAAAATGAGTTAGAGAGCAGAAGAGGAATTTCCCCATCCATCATACTAGGGTTATCTCATGAAGCATGAGATCATTCCATTAGTTGAATCCTGACTTAATGTGTAACCTAGGTAATTGGGGTTGAAAATTATGAACTCGAATCCATCTACCTATGTGGTGGGAGCTCTAATTGAGTGAACATTGAGTTATAGTTTATCCTACGTATTTCCGTGGAGTGGATGACAAATTAATCCAATCCCTTATAATATGTACCCCTAGAAAGCACTGAAGGTCGTTAGAAGTCTAACCGACACTATCTCTTATCTAGTGATCTCCCTCACTTTTAGTTTTTTTTTCATTAGTTTTACTCACACTTAAACCATCAATCATCTTGTTCGACTATATAGCGGATCAAGGTCTAGAATAGTAGTAGAAATAGAAGGCTCTTGAACTACGATCGAGCCACTAGACTACAAAGCTAACATTGGTATACTTTTTATTGTTAATTTAAAAGTTATGCATCTTGAATTGGAAAAACAAGTTAACATACTTTATTAGGTAGAAGTTCGGTCTGGAACATAGAATGCAAATGGAAGGAGATTAGCTTGACCAAATGCACCATATGGCCCCCAAGTATTTTGCAAACAATCAACAAAAAAGTAGATGATTACTCAAACTTCCTATCAAAACTACAATCTATAGATCGAAGCAACCAAAAATGATCCAGATGGTAGACTCGGCCATCCTCATTTCCTTTCCTGATCCTCCTCCCCGTTCTTAGATCTTGTACAAGACACCCATCTGCATCAAAAGTAATACAAAAACCTTGTATTGCCCACCTAACCAATACTAACTAGAGTTGAAACCCTATGAGGAACATAAAGAATTTCAGAATCTTTTACACATTGAACTTGTATGTGACTCTCACTTGAAAGGACGTATCCTTAGTGGGTTTCAATTGCATAAATAGAGAAAAGGAATACGATTTCAAGATGCAGAGATAAGAAACCAATTAGAGTTACCTATGTTATTGGCAGTGTTAAATTCCTCATTGAGAAAGATGTGAATAACTTTATCGAGCACCTGTTGGAGTAATGCATTGAGGAAAGAAAGAGGGCTCCTGTGTCGAAAAAAGGCATAAAGAGCCAACCTCCCAGTTCGCATTCAAAGGAAGAAGATCATTGCTGAGAACATCTCTGGCAACGATCTCGAAGAGGCAGTGCACAAGAGAAGCAGGAGGTGTTACAGTACACTATGCATCCCTTCATGTCCGAGCCTGTGAAAAATATCGCGCCCGCGACTTATAATTCACGGTCGTGATTTCCTTACCACAAACTCACTTCCAGTGCAACCCAAAATGGTTGTATTTCTAATCACGGCCTAGAGTTGCACATCCCGATCGCGAACTCTTATATGCAGGCCGCGAACTTGTCTGGATTTTTTGCCGCCTATAAATAGAGGATGCCTGATTCATATTGGGTGTGCTGAGTTGTGGAGACTTGAAGAGAGAGAAATAGACTGAGATTCAGAAAGGGAGCCTAGGGTTTCCTTGAGATAGGAACAAGGAGGGAAGAAAAAGGGAATCATCCTTGAAGATTGAATACTAGTCTCCCATTAGAAATTAGGCATCTAATGGTTCCTTCCTCCTTTTCTATTGTTTTATCATCATCTTTCATTGGATAATCCTTTTGTACTTGGGGTAACAACTCCGAATTCTTAGATGAATGTTTAGGTTTGGTTATGAATGGAATGATTCCTCTTCTCTTACTTTATGATTACTTGATGTTTTATGATGTCATTATCTTGTTTCAGTAAAGCTAGCTAGTGCATGTTCTTAACCTAGGTTGTGATGACCATCCCCTAGGGTAAGCCTAGAATCCACATAAAGTGAGACGTGATTTTAACCATGTGACATTATAATTTGAAATCATGTTTTCCCTTGTTACCCTCGTAGGAATCCAATCGTACCTCCCTAGCAATTTGTCAGTTGCATGATCATTGAACCAAGAAGTCTACTAGGAGTGCTCTAGGCGACATGACCATTGCCCTAGATGTGATAATAGAGGATTTCAGCATCATGAAAGAAGTGTTTCGTTTATACCTATACCTAATCTAATCAAAGAGTTAGGGGGAACTAGCCATAAGTATCTCTTTCGAACGGGTCAATGTGAAACCTAGTAGTCGTAGTAGGTTAGGAATATCTCACAATCAACTGTTAGGTAAGAAAATAATTAAGTCCTATAATAGCAATAGATCTGATGATCCGTTGAAATACGGCCTCGAGGGTCACCACTTTACTACCGCGCCAACTTATATATATTTGTCCTAACTTGGAGTAATTAGTATAGCTGACAACCGAGTATTTGTTTTTTGATAATGGTGATGGAAAATTTAAAAACGAAATGAAACAATGAAGTTAAGAGTGAGTACAAACATAAAGGAAAAGACCCGGTTCAGAAGCCCTAAACCACAACAGTAAAAGCAAAGGGAAAAAATGAAGAAAACATCAAAAGGTGAGAGTCCACGACTGCAGCCACATACAAACGAAGGAAATAAATGATGATTAGCTCTGAATTTGACCGACAGAAACCAGTAGCGTACTTCATTGGCACATCTTATAAACCCTCCTCTAGGACAACCAGCATACACGAACAAAGCAACAGCATCAGCAGCACTTAATCCAGAGGTACCAGCAACACCTATCAACATCTTTGAAAACAATAGAACGCTCCAACTATGCCATTATCCACACCAGCACCACCAAAACCGACATGTGCAAACAAACACTTCGTATCTCGATTCAAAGAGAAGTCATCACAAAATGGATAGAATGACATTGAGCCACTTCAAACACTACTCCCTCCCAATCTTCTCATGCGAGAAGGCCCAATCAATCATGGATCTAGATGCTTTCTTGAGGATGATAGCCGAGTCGAGACTAATATCATGGAAGATGCGTTGGTTTCTTTCTAACGACACCTACCAGCAAATAGAGTGGTAGGCAGAATAGCTGATCCAACCATTAATGTCACTCCGATCATCCGTCCCCCACCTGCAAATTGTGGACAGAGTGTCTCCAAATGGTGGATTGAGACTGCTACAGATTCTTCGCAACCTACTCCAAATATCGCGAGTAAATTCACAATCAACAAAAAGTTGGTCCACAGTTTCTTCCTCTTTTCGACACAGCTCGCATCGGTTCGCGATCAGCCACCCTTTCTTCTTGAGGTTGTTGAGAGTGAGTATTTTCTTGTGGGATAGAAGCCAAGTGAAAGTACAGATCTTGATGGGAATTGATTGGCGCCAAACGGAAGCAGCAGGGAAGTTTGGTACTCCTTCAAAACGCTCCTTGACGAGGCACCTGTACATTGAACGAACAGAAAACAAGAAATCTGATCGTGGTGATCAGATGAGCCTAGGAGGTCCACTGGTCACCCTTGATATACCAACAGAATTAAGAAGATTTAGAAGAGAAACCCGCTCCCTATCAGCCCCCCCCCCCCCTCTCAGATTATAATTTAAAGGAAAAGTCCAACTCACGTTCTCACCAGATCGGATAAAGTAGTCAGAGATCCAGGCTTCTTGATTCGGTGTGGCGGCGGCGACACGGGGGAAGGAATCAGCAAGAGTCACTTCAGGGATCCAAGCGTCGTGCCAGAAGGAGACCCAAGCTCCATTGTTGGGGTCGATGTTAGCGAGTTTCAAGAAATCACTGTGCTCCTTTGTGATATTGGCCCAAACTGAACCTTGAAACCCATTGCTACTCCTACCAGTATGCCAGAAAGATGTAGTGTTTGAATATTTGATTTCAATGAGAGACCTCCACCAACTTCCCCTTTTACTTGCATATCTCCAAATCCACTTGCTTAGCATCGCTTTGTTATAACTGGACAGATCAATGACTCCTAGGCCACCATGTTCCTTGGGAGCTTTACATATATCCAATTAACTAAAGGAACTTTATGGTTGTCTCCCGGTCCACTCCAAATGAACTTGCGCTGTGTTTTTTCCATATTCTTGATTACTATAGCTGGCGCCCGAAGCAGGGAGAAGTAATAAACAGGCTGATTGGAGAGTACTGCTTTATTCAAGGTCAGCCTGCCTCGTAGAGACAAATAGTGTCTCTTCCACCCGTCAAGGCGCTTTTGATAGTTATCACAGATGGTGCTCCAAGTGGATATAGCATTAGCCTTAGCTCCCAGCGGAAACCCGAGATACTTGGAAGGTTCTCGACTCCATTTGCATCCAAAAATCGCAGCAAGGTATTCCGGGTTTGGCACATCGCCAACTGTGAACATAATTGTCTTCTCCAGGTTAATTTTCAGTCCGATGACACCTTGGAAGCACGCAAGGGTATCTAGGATATTGAGAACTTGATTATAATCTGCTTCACAGAAGATTAAAGTATCGTCTACATAAAGTAGATGGGTAACTTCTCCTCTGCTGTTTCTTTCATTCATGTAGAAGCCGCTGATTCTTCCTTCTTCTTTAAGCTTGGCTATCATGAAAGATATGATGTCCATTACAAGTACAAAGAGACCCGACGATAGGGGATCACCTTGTCGAAGTCCTTTGCAAGTTGGAAAGTACCCTTTTGATTCGCCATTGATTAATAATGAAATCATGGGAGAGCACATGTCGCCACGAATCCAATCTTGCCACTTGCGTGGAAAGCCAAGTTTAGACAACACATTGAATAAACAGTTCCAACTTATATTGTCGAACGCCTTCTCGATGTCTAACTTAAACATCAGCCCGGGTTTTCTACTCTTGCGCCGGCTGTCGACCCGTTCGAATGCGATGAGCCCTGCATCCACAATTTGTCTTCCCTTTACCGATGCTTGCTGATTAATAGAAAAAAGATCGGGGAGGACCTCCCTGAGTCTTCTGGCCAATACCTTGCTAAAGAGTTTGTTAATACTACCCATTAAACTAATGAGCCTCAGATCTTTAATATTTTCAACAGTATCTTTCTTCGGCATAAGGCAGATGAAAGAATGAGTAGTGCTCGTAGGTAGTCGCCCTGACAAATGGCACTATTTGAATGCATTCACAATATCATATTTGAGCCAAGTCCAGCATTTTTTTTGTAGAATTCCCACGAGTATATTTGTTACTCGAGCAATCACGTCCGCTAGGTGGGGCGCACCAGAACTCCTGCTGGTGGCTGTTGGAACGAAAAAGTGGCTCCCCCAACTAGAGTTTGTGGCCTTAGAGGGTGATTCTTTAGCTTTGGAAAATCTAAGATATGTGGGCCTGATTATTTGAAATACATACAAAGGTTGCATTTCCGACAATAGGCTAAATATGACCCAATTCTTGAACTAGTGACCACAGATATTACCCTCACTAAAGCTAGGTAGTAAACTAAGGTACGAAGAAGTACCCTTGACTAGCATTCCCAGTTGCAATTGCATAGAAAATGCAAACCATGCCCCCTGAGTCGCATCAAAAGCCAAATTTTTATATTGAAGGTGACTATCAACATTGGATTGAGTAGCCAAACATATTTCTTATCAAGGCAAGTTCACAGTAACCATAGATTAATTGTAACTCATTAATACTCACTAACTTGTTATTGTATGATAATTGAAAATTGTTGTACTTACACCAAAATTTCCATGAACCATCATTCTGAGTTTTGGAAGTACAAGTCGTCTTCTTCATAGAGCTGTAAGTTAACAACTCTGTTTAATTTGCAATGACATACTCAGAGTGAGGAATTAACAGAGAAGAATGGAAAAGAAGGAAATACAACACATGCACACAACAATTTTAACGTGGTTCGCTAATCTACAGCTACTTCACGTCCCAAGTATAGTACCGACTATTCATCAAGACTCATTTTATTTGTTTTTAATGCCTTTCAAACAATTGAAAGAAAATCTGATAAAAGGACTCCAGAATGATGTTAAAACACTAAACCCGAATCCCAAAACCATACTTGCTTGATTTGAGTAATTAATGTCTCTCTCGATTAGTACAATCAGCAATTCCGAATTCCCTCTTTTGTTTCAACAGTAAGTAATTTGGCGGAAGAAGGAGATTGGGATCAATCTGCTTCTTAATCAGAACCACTCACCTCTGCATGGATGCATGTTTCTCTGAAACTCCAAAGACACCTGCCCTTCGTTGTCCTTATTACGTGTTAGAAAAGGGAGGTCATGCAGGCATGCAAAGTGAAGAATGGCGGAACAAGGCTTCCCCTTCGCTTCTTATGTGGCGATCATTCACCGCCCTCTCCTCCACTATAAATACTATACATCCATCATCACTTCACCAAAACACCACCAGTTGCCCATCCCAATACTCACCACCATGGCAAAGTCTAGCACTTTCCTTCTCTGCCTTTCACTCTGCCTTTTCGCAATTCTCTCCCACACTTGTGAGGGTAGGCAGCAATGGCAGCAGCAGGGAAACGAGTGCCAGCTCGACAGGATCAACGCAATCGAGCCGGACAACCGCATCCAGAGCGAAGCCGGTACCATCGAGACCTGGAATCCAAGCCGTGAGCAGTTCCAGTGCGCTGGAGTGGCCATTGTGAGGCGCACGATCGAGCCCAACGGCCTCCTCTTGCCTTCCTACAGCAACACTCCTCAGCTCGTCTACATCGTTCAAGGTACCATACCATTAACTAATCATGATATCTTCTGCTTTTCATGAGTGATCGCACCGCACCTGCTGAGCTTACCACATTTTGTCTATATAGGAAGGGGCCACACTGGAATCATGTTCCCAGGATGCCCCGAGACGTTCGAGGAACCCCAGCAGGGAGGGCAACAACAGTTCCAAACCGGCGGCAGCGCCCAAGATCAGCACCAGAAGATCCGCACCTTCCGAGAAGGTGACATCATCGCCATCCCTGCCGGCGTGGCCCACTGGTGCCACAACGACGGCAACGAACCTGTCATCGCTGTCACCGTCCACGACACTTCCAGCCACCTCAACCAGCTCGACAACAACCCCAGGGTCCAAAATCCTCCTCCTCGCATTCATTTCATAACAACTATCTCAACTTCTCATCCAACATATATAAGGTAGAATTGTTACGGAATTTGGTTGCATGCAGAACTTCTACCTGGCCGGGAACCCTGAAGACGAGTTCCAGCAATCGCAGCAAGGCGGAAGGCTGAGCCGCGGCCAGGACGAGAGGCGGAAGAGGCGCCAAGGAGGCTCCACCACCTGCAACAACCTCTTCTGCGGAATGGACTCCAGCTTCATCGCCGAGGCTTTCAACATCGACGAGAACCTGGCGAGGAAGCTCCAGGGCGAGAACGACAACCGAGGCAGCATCATCCGAATCGAAGGGCAGCTGGAGTTCGTGAGACCTCCGAGGAGGGCTCAGGAGGAGAGGCAGGAGCAGGGCGGCGGCCGCTACCAGCTTGCCAACGGCGTGGAAGAGACCTTCTGCTCGATGAGGCTGAAGGAGAACATCGGCGATCCATCGCGCGCCGACATCTTCACCCCTGAAGCCGGGCGCATCACCACCGTCAACAGCCACAACCTCCCCGTCCTCCGCTGGATCCAGATGAGCGCCGAGAGGGGCGTCCTTTACAACGTACGTAAAATCCCTAATTTTTCAAATCCCTAATTCTACATCCCAATCCCTCTCAATTGCCAATTTAATTTTGCAGGAAGCCATGCGGCTGCCGCACTGGAACCTGAACGCGCACAGCATAATCTACGCCATCCGAGGGCAGGCCAGAGTCCAGATCGTGAACGAGAACGGGAACTCGGTGTTCGACGGCGAGCTGCGGGAAGGGCAGGTGCTGACGGTGCCCCAGAACTTCGCGGTGGTGAAGCGCTGCGAGAGCGACAGGTTCGAGTGGGTGTCGTTCAAGACCAACGACAACGCCATGGTGAACTCGATCGCCGGGCGGACCTCGGCCATCAGGGCCATCCCTGCCGACGTTCTGGCGAACGCTTGGAGGGTGTCGCCGGAGGAAGCGAGGAGGCTCAAGTTCAACCGCCAGGAGACTCACTTGGCCAGCTCCAGGTCCCAGTCCAAGGGGTGGACGGGGAGGAATGTGGTCAAGGAGTTGGTCAAGGACCTCCTCATGTAATGTAAGCTTTCAGAGCTTGCCCTGCAGCTGCAGTGCAGAGAGAGATGAAGGAATAAAACAATAATCAATAATAAAGTAATAATAATAATGATCTAAAGCCAGGCCACAACTAGCAGAGTGGAGACTGGAGTGGAGAGTGAATGTAATATATATCTAGGGCTAGGCTAGGGCCTACTTGTATGAGCCATGTCGATCTGGCGCTAATTTTGTATCTTATTTTGAATAATGGATATGCGCTGAGCTTAAATTATATCCTATCCATGAGGTCGGTCCAGTTTTTAAGATCCAATTTGTCGTCAAGAAGGGAAAGATGGGGATGATTTGGATAGATAAGTCAGAATAGGGGAAATGATTCAGTCTTTACTAATGTGCATCTTTGGTGAACTGAAAATAGGGGAAGAGCTCATGAGAAACAGAGCAAACTTATGCTGTCGATTCTGTTTTCTGATGAAGCTTGATACAGAGTTTTTCTATTCCGGATAATGCCCCCCGTTCTAATATTATCACTTGGAGTCGGATTCCACTGCTAAGTGTGGCAATTCTCAATCCACTGTTAAAGTGTGGCAATTCTCAATTCAATTCATCCATTCCACTGCGGCTAAGTGTGGCAATTCTCAATTCAATCCAATTTATCCACTTAAATATCCAACTAATTCGTGAATTGGTTCATGGATTCAAATGACAATTATAATTTAGTATCTAGATTTTTTATATTTTACATTTTGATACTATAATTATTTTTTATACGAAAAATTTCATTGGAAAATTATATTTTATTATCTAAAGTTTTTTATTATGACATTTTAGTACCTAAACTTTTCAAAATTTACATTTTGGTCCAAGACTTGGATGTCATTTGGATCAATCCACCAATCCATATAATCCAATCCATGAATCCATGAATTCATTTAATTCTTGAATCTACCAATCCAATCCATGGATCTTATCCATTTGTCACCTCTACTTACATCTCGAATTTCAGAATTGAAACATATCTCACCTTGTTCGAGAAGCCTGCCATCCAACGTCTTAGCAAATTCGTAATAACGCATCGCAACGTCCAACCAAATCCACAATAACGCCACCAATGGCGTGACAATGAGGACTCATCATTATTCTTGCTACCCTCTACACCGGCATTAATCCAACCCTTTTTCGGTTTCTTCCACATAACTTAACGAGCTGAGACTGGTTAGTTGCAGCATCTTAATTACCTAGATTTGGCCTAGGCTCTACTGACTCGCTCCGAACATCACAATAAAATCCTACCTAAGGCTCAAGTATATGGGTGCAATATAGGGCAAGTATGTTTAAATATCAACCCGGGCCGACCCATGTACCCCTACTTCAATTATTTGAAACATTATCTAGCGGAATGTTGTTTGTTAAAATCTCTACAATCTACTATTAAAAAGCAAGACTTGAAAAGTAAAAGGGTGGAAAACTCTTGGTGCGAAGCTTAACTTGGGAGTTTGACACGCTAAAACACAACACCAAACTGTGACCAAATGTAATCGCAGTCTGGAAATGCAGTAAGTGGCAAGCTCTATTTGTCAACCCGGGCCTAGATCTACTGCCTACTCCGTGACTATTTATTATCTAGCAAACTAAGTCGAGTGATTGTGATTTTAACTAAGAGGTCATTTGGATCCAGGTTTTTAATTTGTGGGATTTTGGCTCAAATCACTGGTTCAAAAACCCAGGTTTTTAATTTGTGGGATTTGTGTGGGATTATGAAATCTCTAATATTTAAAATCTCTTATCATATAATTGATTTCCAAACGAGTGATTTTAATTAAAATCTCACACTATGTAGGATTGTGCCCAAATCCCACACCCAAAACCTGCATCCAAATGACCCCTAAAAGCAGTAAGAAAGCAGGAAATGGTTCAAAGTTCTTTAGCAAGGGACGAGTCACTCGAGTATGAGTCCCCCTAGCTCCTTAGTTAGGTCGAGGTTGAAATTACCCTGGGTTGATTAACTGTTGATTAAACTGCGGAAGATCTGACAGTAGCTTGCAATCTCTTAAGCTGACCAAGCCCTCTCAGGCAGGCTACCGGCAGGCGACTAACCTTCACCGGGATAGACTGTTGAGGCAATAAGCTCAGAACTCCACTACTGGAATTGGGTTCCAGTACAAAGCAGAAAATCAATTAACTCTCGTATAACCAATCTAGCACTACCGATTGATGAAGCTCTAACAACCTAATCAGATCCTATCTATCTCAGGTTGCAGCAGAAATCAAGAAAAGATGATCAGACTTCAATTGACTCAATGAATCATGCATCAATCGATTATAGCCAATCAGTATAACAATCCCAAGTCATTACAATCAAGATCCCTAACACATGGAACTAGGGTTCTTCATACCCAAGTGAGAGAAGGTTTTACTCCATAGAGAGAGAGAGAGAGGAAAACAGAAATAAGAGTAGTCATACTCATAAAAATGAGGATAATCTGCTCTGGGATGTCGATCTTCACTCCAGGGGATGCAATCTGGGCTTCAATGGTAAGCAATCCACTCCAAATAGCTCCTAGGGTTTGTTCTTCGCACTTTCTCTCTCTAAATCTCTATTTTTTGCTCAAAAACTCGATTCCCTCTCCTTTGGCTTGAATCTGCCTCAAAAGCCCGATTCTAGCCTAAAACACGGTCGTGCCCCCTGATTGTAATGGTCGTGCTTTTCTTCAACTCTGCCCGTGTTTTGGACTTCTCATCCTTCTCCAAGAGCAACCTCTCGGCATAAAAAAACACGGTCCGAGACACGGCCGTGTTTTTCCTTAGTCCAGCCCGTGTTTTGCTTCTTTATCAGCTTAGCTCTCGCACATAAAAACACTGGCGTGCTCATCTATGTAGACGGTCGTGTTCTTCAGACCTCCTGCCCGTGTTCTGACTCCAGCTCGACCGAACAACCTCCAAAAGCCCCGAAACTCGTGCCTAGCCTTCCCTTCAACGTCTGGGACCTGAAATGTGACAAAGTAGCATAACCCTGCAAAAAATAGGCCAAAATGCACGACTACGAGCCGCAAACAGATAAGAACTAAGGGTGCAAACATGTGCAAATACACCATTATCAGAGTTGCTTCACCCTAACTAACTACCATGAACTGTGGGATCGAATGAATTGGTGTGTGACAAGGAAATTGTGACCCCGTAGGAGGTGCAACAATGGTTAGAAAGCATCCTCTCAATTGCTAGGCCAAGGAAAGCATTATAGGCTACAATTATAACCCTCTTGGCTCAAGCAATTGAGGGTTGACTTACCTTCTCCCTCAAACTAAGGTTTGGACGGCTTAATCACAATTAACCTAGGTGTCTAATTTAAGTTTAGAGGTTTGCCCTACATTAATTTAGTTAAGAAGCATGGAATGCCTAAGAAAACCCAGCTCAATTTGAGCCTCTTAAGATAAGGATGCTTCTCTCTAAGCTAGGTTAGAATAACACAATAGATTGCCAAGTACACACAATGCAAAATCACCATGAAAAATACCTCAATTCTTAAATTAAACACCACCATCACACAATCATTCAATCCACACAATCAATTACATGGTAAAAGTTAGGGTTCTACAACACCCAAGTGAAAAGGGAAACTACTCTGTGCTAGACAAAGGAAGAACACAAAAGAAGAATAAAGAAACCATCATTGTGATGCCTCCAATTCCCCTTGTGCTTGTAGAGATTCTCTCTAGAAGAGAAAATTCCAAAATCTTCACTTGGAGCAAAACCTAGCCTTTTCTCTCTCGTGGTTCGTGACTTTCTCTCTCTAGGGTTGCAAGAAGAAGAAGGTTTCTCTCACTTTGGGCTCTCCCCTCTTCTTCCCTTCAACTCTCAATTTATACATAGATCGTGCCCAGTTTACGGTCCCAGTTCACGGTCGTGTACATCAGGCTGGGAACGTGAACATAGATTAAAACGCGACGCTTCATTTATAGAATTCACGGTCCATGGCTCCTGTTCACGGTCTTGCGACCGTGAACTACCTCGGAGTCAGTAACCCATGAAACTCCTCTGGACACTCTGCGGTTCACAGTTTGTGGTTCCAGTTCACGGTCCTGACGATCGTGAACTCCAAGCTCTGACCGTGAACTGTGGCTAGATCCTCCTCTTTGCCCGGTCTTTGCGCCTTTTCTTCCAACTTTCGACTCCGGGGATTGGTTCCACCTGCTAGACTCTGAAACACATTGAAACACAAGAAACCTAGCGCAAAATCACCCTTTTAGGAGCTCAAATACCACAAACGAAAAAGAGAAACGGGGATAAAAAGTGTACATTTAGGCCCGAATCACTCCCCCACACTTAGACATTTGCTTCTCCCCAAGCAAACCATTTCACAGAAGGTAATATCTCAACCTAATAAAATACTTTATGGACAAATCAAAGGGCACAAAGTGGGAAATCTCAATGGCTATTGGCAATTAACACATGGACCGTTGCAAGCAATATCGACATCCATCACAAACGACATTCGAGGTCACCAAAAACGGGAAAACGAAAAGTTCTCACCTTGTTCATGAATCAATGAAAGTCTCAACAAGATAACTTATAAACCACAACTAACCATGCATAACATTCAAGTCCAAGGAATAAAGGAATGGGCAACAAAGGTCCTCACCGGGGTATGATATGACATGCAAAATAAGAATGAATCACTCACATCTCTTGACCAATGGGGTTGGGACCTTTTGGTGCAAAGAATGTGCACAATCATCAACACTCGGCCCTATCGTCTCTTCACCACTATGGCAACCTCTAAATGCTAGAGTTCACGGGACGGTTGTCATCAATAGCTTGTCTAGAGGTCTTAGACACGGGTACAAATGACTGGCAATTGTCTTGGACATGGGGAAAAGGCCTTTTGGGTGGTGGCAAACACAACCTGTGGTCCTACATCTTCACCCTAAACCCGAAGGTTCTATGGTTTCGACTAAGAACCTTCCCTACAAACAATGGCCACTAGCATCAGCCAAAAACCTTACTTCTCCATTCCAAACTATCGCCCATCATGAACTACATTCAAGCGCACTTCCTCGGTCTACTTTTGCTATCACATTTCGAACATGGTAGTGACGGAATTCAACAACAATGTGGGTGTTTCAATGGATTGTGTGCTAAGAAACCCCTCCTAGAGCATACACTTTGTTCTTTGTGGCACTCTACTTTATTTACCTCGATTTATTACCTCTTTTTCGATTCTTTTTCTTTCTACTTTCCTTTTCTTTCTTTTTCTATTTTCTTTTCTTTTTGAGG